CGTCATACCTCGCTTCAAAAAGCCGTACCATGTTCTCCGTCTGGGCCTCGCCTTCCATTTTCGTCTCCTGAACCGCGACGATATCCAGGTCATTCTCGATAAACAAGCGGTTTACCTGGTATTGGCGACGCCTGGCACAAAAGCCGCGCACGTTTAACGTGCCCACCCGTAAAGATCGTTCAAGGTTCATGAACGGTTGGAAGGGAGGCTAGAGGGAGAACAAGGTAGGCTCGCAAAAAAAGCGCTTGTGCAAGAAAAAGCCAATGGAAACAAAAATACGGTTGACACTTGCATTGACGTTTAGGCCCGAAAAGACTCACAGGGAGTCCTTCCTGCGACGATCGTCCGGCGGGACACGCGGCTTCGCCACGACACGACACTTCTTGATTCCTGGCACAGGCAACCCGCTGGCGGCCATTCCGCCGGTTGCAGCTGGTGCTGGCGCAGGGTCCCTCGGTCGCTTGAGAGTGGAGTCCATGTCTGTGTCCTGGCACTCTTCCACTCCGGCCTCACTGTTTTGCACACCGGGATGGCCGGGCTTCGTTGCCGATGGACCGCATCCGGATATTGCTGGCTCATGGGGCAGGCGCTCCTTAGTGTCGTCGCTGGGCGTGACTTGCGCTTCGGATTTCTCCTCGGGGTTGCGCACGAAGGACGCTGCGTCAGGGTTGCCGTCGTCGTTGGGCGGGGGCGTACCACTAGGCTCCGTCGATGGCAGGGTGACGGGCGATGACCCTCCTACGGCTTCCTCTGCCTCCGCGTCGTCCATGACGTAGTCGGTGTTGTCCTCCGACTTGCGGTCACGGGCGATAGACGCGTAGGTTTTGACGCAGTCTTCTGCTGCGTGGCCGTACCGGTGGCAGTCCGTACAGCGAGGGACGCGGCAATCTCGCCGGATGTGGCCCGTACGCCTGCACCTAAGGCACAGTGGGGCCCGTCCTGGCACAACGACGAGGACCTTGCAGCCTTCTAGGCGAATTTCGTGGGGGAGGCTGTCGACGGTACAACCGTCCTTGAGAGTCAGGCGTACCGTTCGGGTGTTTGACTCGACCGCCTCGAACCCCTTTTCCCTGAAGAGGTCTCGCGTTACGTCAGTCACTTTGCCGTACCGTTCCATCTCCTTTTTTACGTGACAGCTCGGCACGTCATAGGGCACCCAGTGCAGCTTGAGCCTGACTTCCACGTTGGCAGGGTCCATTACGAGGCACCGCCCCCCTTTTACGGTTAGTTCTTTGGCGTCCACTAACCTCTGCTTTGCTGCAAGCGAAGCCAGCCGTAGCATCCAGACATGGTTCATCTGGTGCGGTCCCGCCGACACCAGATCTTTCAGCACTTGAAGCCGCAGCAGTTCGTCGCGGAAGTCTTGAATCCGGTATGGCCGGCCCTTTACGTCACAGTGCAGAATCACACAGTTCATGGCGATGTATCCGTTCGGCAGGGGAGGCAAAATAATTTTGTACTCGTCAGGGTTTCCAGTGGCAGAATTAGCAGAAGTACCACGGCCAGACGCGGCCGCTGTCACCGCTCCTACGGAGCTCATGATACACACGTCCGTTCGCTTCGGCTGCCGGAAGTGGAATCCCCCACTACACTACTCCACCTTAGCTTTCTGGCGTTTCCTACCTGTCTTATTAATGCACAAGAAACGAAATGTGTCCAATCGGAGGTGTTCTGGAAACACACGCCGCCGCGTGGAACGCGGTACGACGCTTAGTGTCACGTGGTACGTGCTCGTTTGTGCTCCAGAAATCCTCCCACTGTTTGTCTCGCCCCGTGTACATGTAGTATTCTTTGTTTATGAGCTTTTTAGAGACACGGTATCATCATCATCTGCGAGAATCAAGAGCCACGTTATTGAACATACAACACGGGCACTTCACGTCATCGTACGTGGTCTCCGAGGGGGATATAAACGAATATGTGCAGATGAATGAACCGTACTTAATCCAATGAATTAAAGAATCCAAGTTTTTCAGGAACCCGCCGAAAGCCAAAAATTGGCGGAGCCAGGATTTGAACTCTGGGCCTCCCAATGTCCGGTCGGGTGTGCTAACCACTACACAACTCCACCTTAGCTTTCTGGCGTTTCCTACCTGTCTTATTAATGCACAAGAAACGAAATGTGTCCAATCGGAGGTGTTCTGGAAACACACGCCGCAGCGTGGAACGCGGTACGACGCTTAGTGTCACGTGGTACGTGCTCGTTTGTGCTCCAGAAATCCTCCCACTGTTTGTCTCGCCCCGTGTACATGTAGTATTCTTTGTTTATGAGCTTTTTAGAGACACGGTATCATCATCATCTGCGAGAATCAAGAGCCACGTTATTGAACATACAACACGGGCACTTCACGTCATCGTACGTGGTCTCCGAGGGGGATATAAACGAATATGTGCAGATGAATGAACCGTACTTAATCCAATGAATTAAAGAATCCAAGTTTTTCAGGAACCCGCCGAAAGCCAAAAATTGGCGGAGCCAGGATTTGAACTCTGGGCCTCCCAATGTCCGGTTAAAAGCTTAAAAAAAAAAAACTATATATATATATATATAGTTTTTTTTTTTTTTTTTAAGCTTAACAGATTTGTTTAAAAAAAGCCGTGAAAGTTATATATATATATATATATATATATATATATATATATAACAAAAAACTAAAAACCGTGAGAGATATTTTATGTCGGTCTGTACAGGTGAGTTACAGTCGGGGGACATAATATGGGTGGGGGGGGGGGGGGGGGGGGCTAGTCGTCACGATAAGTGAATTAATTAACTAAAATTTGTAGATGAACTGTTTGGAATTAGCAAAAATAAACGTATCGTCTCAATTAGAAACTTTCTGAGGGTCATCCAAAACAAATAATTGGTGCAGGCGCTTCGTTTTTTCTGAGTCCCAAGAATGCCTCTAAAACCCCGCGGTTTTTCCGTTCCTTATCATTCGCGTCTTCGCACGGCACGTGTTGTCGCCATCTTGGCGGTTGGTCGTGAAAGCCCCGATGGACACGGAGAATAGACGGGTAGGAGAAGGAGAGGGCATGACGTCAGCTGCGTAGCCTTTACAAGCCATGCTCCCTTGACGCCTCGCCTGTTTCTCATTTTCCTCCTTACTCTCCTCACTTATCAGCCCAACATGACCACATCACATGACCGTAGCTAGCCTTCGTCTCTAGCCTTCGATCTGATAAAACCTACCGGACGAAGCGCGCGCAAGCCTGCAAGGAATCCTCCTACAATCAACCATCCATCTTGCACGTGACATGTCACGCGCACCAATCGCCAGAGAGATCTACGGTCACGTTGGCCACAACATCGTATAAACTTTTTATGACTAGGCTTCACCAATATTGCAACGTGCCCCCTCCTAGTACTTCTAACCTCCTTGCCGATAACCGATTCTTTGCATTACACAGCTTTCCACGCTCTCGAAATCTCCCTAAAGTTGCAAAAATATTCCAAAAGCCGGGAATCATAATGATCAAAAAAACTGCTCCGACTTTACTCAACAAGATTAACAATTTAATCTTGTTGAGTTCTCCCTAAAGTTAGCTGATTTAGCAGTCTTCGACGACGCTCAGAAAGTTTCTAATCGGAATAATATGCAATTTTTCATCATCAGAAAAAGTGATTTAACAGTTTTAGTTATTATTTCATTTATCGTGGCGATTAGCCCCCTATGCATGTCCTCCTGGCCCTCTAAGTTACCCGCACAAACCGCACTAGATTTTTTTTTTTTTTTTTTTATAAGTCGGATTGAACTGAGGTTTAACACTGTATAAACAGACGGGAATCATCCTATTATTTTCTTTTTTTTTTTATGGTGCCCGTTTGGGCACCATAATGGACTCCGTCTGGACTGCCCGCCGAAATGAATGGTAACAAATTACGCCGCCACGGGAAGCTGGTAATGGCTCTTTGTGGATGGATGGATGGACGGATGGATGCGGCTTATGACATTTATCTAGTTATTTATACGTGTTGTCGCCATCTTGGCGGTTGGTGGTTGTGGACGCCCCGATGGACGATTCTTTGCATTACACAGCTGTGATGTCAGGAGGTGGACACGGAGGGCACAGAATAAAGGTGCGATAAACACCAGTCGATGTACAGTCACAACGATACTTTTCTGGATCAAATAATGCTTATTTTGATTTATTTTTATGTCTGGTAGGTGGTTATGCGCTAGTATATAGGTGTTTATCTTTTGTGTCCCGTCACACTTGCGCATAGCCTCCCGTGAATTGTGCTACATCTTTAGTCTAGATGAGCATTTTCGAATATGCTTTAGGTTTTCCTGCGTTAAAAATGCAGGCAAAGATCTGTTCCAGGCAGGCACCGCAACAGATATCGGCGATTTGACCCAAAGAACGGAGTTTGATGTTGCGAACGCGAGCGAAGCAGACGGAAGCCCGTTCTCGACCCCGGATGACGCGCCCCAACGGTTGCTCGAAACCGGGGCAAGAAAAACAAGAAAAAGAAACGATCGTAGGAAAGCCTTGAAAAACCTGTTACGCTTCCTCTCTTCATCTCTCCCTCAAAAACCGTTTTTCCTTCTTTCCGGATCCCCCCCGTGCCCGGTGTCGCTAACCTTACCTCGTTTCCTGTTGATTCGCGAATCCTCGGCGCCCTGCTCTACAGAGGGAGCAACTCAGACCACAGAAACCGTTTGCAAGTCAATGGCGGACGCCTCCTAGGCGGATGTGCGTTGTGTTATCGCGTGGAGAGAGCGGTCGAAAGGCAAAGACGCTTGCAGACGACAAACGCTTTCATTCCCTCCTCGCAGGTCGTATTAAAAACGCGGCCCATAAACCCGGTGACTCCAATCGGGCAGTTGGAAACACTCTGTAATTTAGGCACACTAGACTTCTGCACACCGCCGACAGCGCCGTACGCGGCGGCGCCGGTTCTGCCGAGCGCGAGGTTTTATTCGGGGCAGCGACAACCGGGGAAACACTGGACTCGACGCGCATTCGGGCCGCTGCCATTTTCGTTCTCGATGTCGGACCCCGGTTGCCCCAGTCCCGGGACGTCGCAACAGCTGCCAGGCAAGCGGAAGAGAGTGGTGCTGACCATCCGACAGAAATTGGAGATCATTCGGCTCCTGGAAGCCGGCAGGATGCCCAAGGAATTGGCCGGCGAGTTCGGCATCGGCGAGCAGACGGTTCGAGACCTGCGCAAGAGCAAGGAACAGCTGAGGCACTTCCCCGAAGAGTCGGGCGACGCGTCTGACCGACTCAAGTCCATGAAGCTGCCTCTCTACCGGGTGCTCGATAGGGCGTTGCGGACCTGGCTTCAGGAGCGGCGGAAGTTGGGCGAGGCGGTGACCAGTGTCCAGTGCACGAATCAGGCCAAGCACCTCATCGAGACTCTGAAGCTGGAGGGAAAGTTCAACGCCCACGGAGGCTGGCTGAACCGTTTTAAGCTACGGCACGGCATCGCCACTGGTATTCCCAATCGGGCTTTTTTCTTTTTTTTTTTTTTTTTCGAGATCGTGGTTACCAGTAGCAGCTTCGATCGTTCCTGACCGCGACTTCGGCATCTTGTCGTGTTTTACAGGTTCGCGTCGAACGCTAGATCGACCGCCTGATGTTGATTCCACACATGCGCACAGCATTCCCCCACACGAATTGTTTTTCTGGCAGTTTGTAACCGGGGTGATCGGCGTTACGCCGCCCTCTATTATGACAATTTGATATTTCTCCACGTGGCGGGAGGGGTGCGTGCGGTACAATCTGTGGCGTAGCCCGGGGAGGCACTAGCCCGGGGAGGCACTTATAAAACTTCAGCCCCTCCCCCCCCCCGAAAACATTCCTGGCTATGCCACTGTGCACGATGTATTGTAGCATAGCATTAGAAGCTGAACTGCATTCTCCTCATGGATGTCGCATTAGGGTTTTCTTTGTGGCCTGTTGCCGAATTTACTGTCATCAAGACAGGCCTGTGAAACGCACCTAGTCCCTCCTGTGATGTGTTCTTCACATGTGGTGGTGAGGGACGGAGATCGAAGTGTGTAGAATTGACAACTTCAATTCGGGATTGACCTCAAATGCGTGGAATTCCCAGCCTCGCTTTGCATTTGGACAAAATTTTCGAATAGCTTTCTGGTTCGTTGCCTAAGCTCGGCGCATTTTCTCTTTTTTTTTTTTAACTTTTTTTGCAGTTTTATTTTTACACTTTAACTGGATAATTATGTGTTCTCTTCTTTGCAGCACCACCGGTGAGGATGCTGCCGACCGGACATTCGCCAGACAATGCTTCGATGCACGTAGAAGCGTGAGTTACGTTTCGCGAAATACACGGGACCTTTTCCTGACTCCACCACCGAAGTGTTTTCCCTTTCACCATCAGCTCCTGCGGTGCGATGTAGAGAGATGAGAAGGGGACGTTGTGCCGTTCCTAATCGGGTTCCCCCGTTGTCTCTGGTGTGCAGTACCTACGGCGAAAACCACGGCGAGTTCATCATTCCCATGTCGGACGTGGCGGAACAACAGCTCATCGCGCGGCCGAGCACGGCGCCGCGTGACGCCGCTCACTCCATGGTTCTCAGCGACGTCCGTTCCCTGGTGACGGCCCCTCCCGAAATCCAGATCAAGGAAGAGGTCCCCGACAGGGACGGCACCGTCGAGAATCCCCACAACGGGAACGAAGGCGACGTCATCGAGGACGTGGCCGCTCCCGCTCTGCCAGCGGCGTCTCCGCTACCCTCACCTCCTGTGCTGCACGTCGTTCCGCAGACCGTGGCGACGCCGCCTCCGACGGCAACGAACGGTCCGTTCTTCGCCAAGAACCGCAACAGGAGACCCGCGCCGTACGCGAGCTCGACTCAGGATCGAAAGTCGAGGCTCGAGATCGAAGTCCTTCTGGCCACGAAACGGAAGCTGGAGGCCGAGGAACGCCGCGCCAACGCGGAGGCCGAGTTCTACCTGGAGGAAAAGAGGAGGTCTATGGCCCTGGTGTCCCTGCACCAGGAAGAGAGGCGCAAGCTGTCCGCCATCACTGAGCTCCACGTGGAAGAGCGTCGGAAGGCGTCTTCCAAAGCGGACTTGCTTCAGGAGCACCGCAACTACTATCTGGAGCAACAGAGGACGGAGGTGGTGCGGCGGAGGCTCCTGCTGCTCGAGATTCAGAAGATCAAGAAGGAACTCAAGGGGCAGCGGTGATATGCGATGATTGTGCGGACGTGTGTTTGTCGGCCTTGGACCAGCATTATGCGTAAGTGCGTGCCGGGTTTCCGAACGAGATGCCTGAGCTCTGTGAGCTAACCCTGTGCCTGGGTGTGTGCGTATGTGCGTGTGACGAACAATGTAGAGTACTCATTGTCAATCATTCATGCCGGAAAGCGCTTATTAAACGTGGCTTCCTTCCGATTTAGTGAACTCTTATGGCGGAGCAACAGTAATAGCTCGCATACGAGTCGCTTCTGTGTGGATATTGTATAGACATGTTCTCAAAAAGTAGCATGCGTTATTCCTCTAGATAGCGTCTGCGTGCAATCGCACGTGACACTGAAAACGAACGCCCAGGTCAGAACAGACCCGGTAAATTTTGCTTTTCATGTGAAAGCTTTCCTTGCAGCTGTCAGTGATCAATGGTCTGAGTTCCTGCTTAGAAGGAACCGGCGTGGGAGTGACTGATGTTTCTGTAAATGGCGGCAACAAGGACGGACCGACGCCGTTGCAATCCAAAGATGAAATTACTGATGTTTAGATCTTACTCCTCTGTCGTCGCCAAAAATCTCTTTTTTTTCTTTTTTTTTTTTTTTTTTTTTTTTTTTTGCATGACGGTCTCTGGGTTTATTTCACTGTCCGGCCAGCGTGACCATGTCCAATGTCAAAACCCACAGCCAACGCGCGATCTCCACAGCCGAGCACGCATATGTTCGTCGCTTCGGAAAGCGAGCAAAGCACGCGCCATACGAGCGAACGCAGAAGAGGACATCGGTCAAAGGCCCTTTCCTAAAATACTCAATTTCATTTTTTTTTAATTGCATCGTTATTTTTCTGTAACGTTGTCAAGACTAGTTTTCACAGTACTGCAGATCCGCACTGCTGCCCGAGTGTATGAATTCGTTCAAGCAGCTTCGACAGCGCTGCGGAAACTATGCTATCTTTGTCAACGTAGCTGAACACAGCATGGTGCATAGGCGTAGACTAAGGGGGGGGGGGGGGGGGGGGGACATCGGGGCTTGTGCCCCCTCCAGCGAAATCTTGGGGGGGGGGGGGGGGGGAGGGGGAGGGCAGAGCCCCCCCCCCCCCTTCCGGGCTCGGGCATGATCCTTAGCGAGACTCTATTTACGTGCCATGTAAGGAGGTTCTAGTAGCGGCATGTAAACAAAATAACGCCCACGTTGCCTTTATTGACAAAGTACATGGGAAATCGAATCCCAGCGTGCTTTCATTAGCTTCAATCTCCACCCCCCCCCCCCCCCCCCCCCCCCCCCCCGGAAAATGGAAAGTCTACCGCGCTGGCCTGAAATATTAGGTTTTTATGAGCGTTGAGTCTCTCCATAGAAAAATAAAGATCGATGGATTTTTGTCACGCCTGGAAACAAGGTTGGTCGAAGCTGGCCAATCGGCGAAAGGTTTCCAGCCTCGCTTCCAGGGGTGGGGTTTTGGTCACCAGGGCTGAATGGACAAACCTGTGACAGCAGGTCAGACTAGGGTGCCTACATGTTTCCGCCGCTCCGGAAACATGTAGGCACCCTAGGTCAAACAATAATCACAAAAGAGTTTCACTGAACGAGCCAGATCCTTGGCCAGATCAATTTGGCCTGGGGGTAAGCACGACGTCCCACACTCTCGAGTCTCAACCGACTCATGTATCAGACGAGGCAGCTTTCACCATTTGTAATTTCTCCACAAAGACGTTCTTTTTCAGTAAGGTTCTCTGATGGCTGAGCATTCGAGTGCCGCGTTTATCGGTGCGGCTTATGTACAAGAAGGCGCAGAAAACAAACTTACCAAAGCCGGGAATCTCCCCGGATGCCATTGTCCATTGGCGCCAAGGAGGATAGATTGGCCCAGAATGGCGAAGAGAGGGAGAGAAGACTGATTACTGAAGCAAGAGTCAATAATGAAAAACCCGAGACTAAGAATAAATTAAAAAAAAAAAGAAATGGACAAACACTCGCACGAGTATTTGATTGAAGCCTCAAAACCGCATTACCGAAACCGAAATTAAAGCGTGTGAAACTGTGAAATATTTCAGTTTCACACGTGTGAAATATTTACTTATCCGTGATTCACTGCTATGGCACCGATAAGTTGGACACTGACCATTACAAAACTCGCGGGGAAAAAGGTGGCTGTATTTCAGTAGTCACGGTGTCCGCTTTGCTCAACGTTACTTGGCTTTGCTCCAGGAGGAGGCGAAAGCGGCGGAAGGAACATGGCCATTGAACCAATTGAACGTCACGTGCACTTGAGGATGCCTGGAATAAGGTTGTCTTTTCTCTCCAATACAAATGTTACTCACGCATGCGCCGTGCACGCGGTGCGCGGATTGTTGAAAATGGCAGCGTTCGCGGTAAACGACGGTGGTTTGACAGGACGCATAAAGTGGACTGACGAAGCCACCCTTTACATGCTCAACCTTATTCGAGACCTAAACGCGGTGGAAATGTTAGCCTCTAAGCGTCAACGGAACAAACGCACCTTCATGACTATCCAAGACCGCATGTTCCGTTTGGGCCACGACTGGTCCTGGCAGCAGATACGATGCCACTGGAAGAACCTCAAATCAAGGTATAATCATGTAGGTACTGTCCTGCTTTTCGCATTGCGCCCGGAATTGACAGGTAGCAGGGGAGCTCGTATGCGTTTTTTGGCTGATAATGCCTTACGAATGTTTTGACTTTGGCAGGAACGTCGTTTCGCACAGAAGGGGCAGCAATCCTACTGGAAACATTACGATCTGATGAACGCCTTGTTGAAGCAGCGTAGCTCCAGTGGTGGTCGGACTTCCCAAGAGCTCACGGACTCTTCATGCGCGGACAGTCACACAGGTAAGGGCAGTCCGTCCGTCACAGACCCAGCTACATGACCGGCAATTTTCTCGGAAGTTTTCACGTTGCAGGTTAAGCAGATATTCTCATGCTTGGAATTCACTCGAAGATATTTCTGCATTTTGGAACAATCACTCCATAAACGTTTACTTTTTCTTTATAGAGAATCGAGAGGGTTATGATCTAAGGCAGCAGCTCAGACCAAATGGGTGAGTAGAACGGAACGTTGTTGCAAACAAAAGGTGAATCTGTGCCTGCCAGGGATTAAATATGGGACCTTCCGCGCGTTAGGCGGATGTGATAACCAGTACACAACAAGTACAACTGCCAGCATCAAATTTGCAAAACTTTGCAGAGGATCAACAAGCCCAGCAACACGTCCCAACCATTTTTTTTTACCGAGTTTTAGGATTACATTTTGTATTTTTCATCACATAAGTAAATATAAAAGTCAGACTCAGAATTATGTTTGTGAAATGTGCACCTATGTTGCCACATTGCTCCTGCCAGTTTCAGCTTTATTACCAGGGCGGAGACGAGTTCTGCACGGGCCGATATTTAGGAGCACGACCCGGGCCTGCCCGCAGATTGCTAACCATTTCTAACGGTCGCCCGGCTTGGCACGACGCCGGTTTTCACAGGCCCGCTGAGGCCCACTCTATTTTCGCCTAGGATGAATAGCTCACAAATTGTGCAGCATGGCAGCTAGCTTGCCTCTGCTACACATATTAACTATGGTGCCCGATAGTCAATGCAGTAGGCATCTTTTTTTTCTTTTCTTTTTTTTTGCTGCTATTAGTTGGGCCAATCTGTGGGCCCAGGCAGCTCGTTAAGAAAAATGACCCCCATCGTCTCATTTTACAATTAATCCCGCGTATAAGAAAGGACGGAAAAATAAATGGCAAGTAGCAGTAAACGAAACCCAAGAAACGTCGCGACGGGTTGGAATAAAAGACGGACAAAGTTCTAAATCGCCCGCTTCCACTGGTTACAACAGGAAAAAAAAAAAAATACCTCCGTCTTTTGCGGTGGTCTGCGAGAAATTGTTTAGAAAACCACACCACGGGGGAACCTCTTCACCCATATCGTGGATGCATGCACTCGTATGTACAGATGATTTGCACCTGCGAGGGTGCACATTGTGTAGGCGTATATGTGTGCATGTTGATGGGGAGAATTGACAGTCGCCAGAGAGGAAAACAAACATTGCGCCGCTAGTACTCTGGAAGAGCATTTGCTGCACGTACACCGAACCACACAGACATATACAAACACACAGACATGCTTTCAGAATATTGGTGTCCTCCACCATATGGTCCCTCCCCCAAACCCCCTGACCAAACTTCCCAAAACATAACTGCTAAAAAAAAAAAGAAGTAATTTTTGGCTTAGCTTGTTTCAGCCTGTTTTGTAGATTTGAATTCAAGGCCCATGCTCTTCATGAATGTAGCCATGAAGCATGAGCCTGGCCCTTACCCGTGCAGATCTCTAGTAGTAGTAGTAGTAAGTGGTGAGGGTAGCAGAAAGCCAAAACATGTTGGCCACTCCTTTGTTGTGTCCGCAGACCTCTAGCGGACACAGCTGCTGTGTTGGGTTTAAATAAAACTTGATTCAAGTGCAATGCAGGTGTGGGCATCTCTCTAGCATTTCTAGAAATGTTTATAGCCAATGAGCACAGCCAGATTAAATCTATCTCCGAATGCAAGTGACCAATTTAATTTTACTCTAAGTAAGGCTTAACTTTTTTTTTTTTGCTAAATGATTAGAGTGCCAAGGAGCATGCTAGATCTCAGGTTAATGCTGCATATGTTGAGTCTGCAGCACTAACAACACAATGCACGTGTAAAGTGTCACTTGGTCAGATGTTCACTTTATAAACAAATTACTGCTACATACCTCTGTCTAGCACGCACAGCATTAAGTTGTTTTAAGCAGAAATCTAAGCAGTTGGCTCTTTACACATGTATCGTGTTGTTGCTAGCCAGACTGTTTGTATCATGTCCCCTACACCATCTAACATTTGTCGCTTTTCAAACAATCTGTTACGCTTTTGGCATATTGCAGACGAGGCACAGATGAATATATCGTGCCAACGTCTGGAGATGCCAGCCCATCGCAACAGAGCTTCACCGGGTTCTCAATCGAGTCTGCCGTCCCGACGAACACTGCACTAACGGACCTATCCCCCGCCACCCCCAACATCAAGGAAGAAACCTTGGACGAGGACGTGCGGTACGCGGAAGCCAACGGCGACAACGCGAAAACTGCCTTAACACCGAGCGTGACCGACGGCACAAGCTCTGTTACAGAATCTCAACAGCCTGACAACGTCAGCCGAGAGTCGTCACTGAATTCCCCAAACCCATCGCCTCCCGTCGAAAGAACACTTGCCGAATTAGACGTTTCACCGCCGCAGATGACGAGACAGCTCGGAGAGATCATGCAAAGCTCCCCACGCTTCGACCCCAGACCCTTTTACAGAAACCGCAAGAGGATCACGTGCTCCTGGGCTGTGTCCAGTGCTGCCGAACGAAAGGCCAAGCTGGAGCTGGACATCCTGGTCAGCACCAAACGGAAACTGGAAGCCGAGACGCTGAAAGCCAAGGCCGAAGAACGCCGGGCGACCGCGGAGACGCTGCTGCTGGCCGAGACGCTGAAGAAGTGCAGCGAGGAGAAGAACAAGGCAGTGGCCGAAGCCATGTTCCTGGTCCAGGAGAGGAAACGGTCGGAAGAGGAGACGAGAAAAGCGGCGGCCATCGCAGACTTCCACGTGGAGGAGAGACGGAAGGCAGCGGCCAAGGTGGATTTGCTCCTGGAGCACAGGAACTACTATGCGGACCAACGAAAGACCGAGGCCGTGAAGAGACGGGTGCTGCTGCTGGAGGTGCAGAAGATGAAGCGAGAGCTGAAGCTGATTTAGTGGACGTGTGTGTGTGAGGCGCAAGTGCAACTGGTTTGCTTGCGTTGTGAAATTGGCTGCACTGGAAGGGCACAGTGTAGAGGTGTGAAAAGTTACTTTGAAACAAGACAAGTTGGCAGCTTGTTGTCACTAAGCGAGGTTTGCCATTTTATGGGCGGAAAAAGTTTGACTCTGCAAGTGTACATTCCCGCTCAGTTGTGGCCATCATCAAGTGCCTTTTTCTTTCATTCTTTCCATAGCAGCTCACTGCATTATTGCTTGTCCTGTTTCATGCAGTGATCTTGCTGAGTATAAAAGGATGATCATCTCGTTCCACTTTCTTTATCTGTTTTTATTGCAGTTTTACACAGTAAAAACATTAACAAAATAAATAATTTATGTAGTTTTTTTTTGCTCGTAAAAAAAGTTTGTGGGTGTTGCTTTTTTCATGCACATCGTATGCAGGATATAGAGATGGTACACATTTATAAAACATGCCAAATGCAGTTAGTTGCACCATGATTTTTATGTCTGGCAGCGCATTTGGAGACATGGCCCATATGTCAACACATGTGGAGCCCATTGGAACATGCACATACTTTACAAAGGCTCAAATAATGAGGACTGCTAACCTCAGTATAAATACAATAATTTGCACTTCATGAGTAGCAGAGAGGTAAGGCAATAGCTGCAAGAGACCATGCATTTCAGTTCCATCTGTGTTTATCTGATAACCAAACAGTTCCAATTCAGAGAATGTTTTTTTTTAGCTAAGGTGGTTAAGTATCAAAGGCTCTAAATTGTAAGAATGGCATCTATTTGCTCTTTAGCGGGTAGATAACGAGGGAAATCTTATTGTCGTCCTGTTAATTGTTGTCCACATCCAATTACGACAGAGAAGACATCTGGGCTCTCTTTGGCTTCATCAGACAAGGGTGCTTTATGTTTTCAAATATCTGCTAAACACACAATACTAAAAAATGATATACAGACCATTTACTTTTTCAAGGGAAAGATTGAACAGCATGAGACATAAAATGCGACTTGTTTGCCACGTGACCTGAAAGAAAGAACACTCTTAGATATGTAAATAAACTCTGTGGGTTTCCTCCATGTGGTAAAATTACATGTAATTGGTCCAATTTTAAATTGCAATATTCTTCAACTCAGTCAATATTAGGCCCTGAAACATAAAGGGACATTGACAGGGTATTTTTGCTTGCCAAAGTTTTTATTTGTACACAACACATTAAGCCCAACTACCCAGAACACAATTTGCAGCTCGAAATTCCTTTTCTCTCCGCCCAAAGGCCGCTGTTCGAGAACTGGCCGGTTTGAGTCTCGCTCACTCCCTTCACCGTGGTCATGTGCCATTCGAACACAACCACCAAATGTTGTCAAAGTCGTGGGTCATCGAAGACGCACACTCAATATTAAAAATACAAAACAATGTGATACCCATTTTTTGTGGCTTCTAAAAAAACTGCAAATATGTATACTAAAAAAAAAAAAAAAGTTGCAGAGAATTGAAAGCACTTGGTATTCTCTGCATGATTCTGAAACATGGCGTCGTATCGCAGGGGTTGTGGGCTGGACGGCTGAAGAAAGCGGACTATGCGATGGCGGCGGACGACGGTCATGGGACCTCTACTTCAGAAGTGTCGTTCGCAGTACCGGCAAATCTGTCTAGCTTCGAAAGAAAAATCTGTTGCCAATCAAAACGATTATAATTTACTCCATACAATACGCCCGACCACCAAGATGGTAAGCACAAAGTTGTCGCACCTTCTCCTGGCTGAAGACATCATTCGCCTTACGAACATGAATTGGTAAAAGCATGAAAAACGCGCCATTGTCAAGTGCAAAGTGCTTGACATCTGTGTTTTTCGCGCGATGTGTGCGTTTTCCGTGCGACGTGCGCGTTTTTTGTCTGATTTGCACAGAGAAAAAAACAAAGGAAAAAGATAAAGAACACGGCTGGATGTAGCCATGTGACTTCCGACAACTCTCCTCCTTTACATTTCTACCTCCTCCCCAGTTCGGTTTCAAGCAGTTGCGTTTTTTTTACTTCATTAAAAACCTGCGACGCTGTAGCAAAAATATTGATTGGGTAGTCTTCCGACACCATATTAAATCACCTGGCAAAAAATTTAAAATTTTTTTTGAGGGGGTGTTAGTGTTTTTTTTAAACAATGCAGGAAAGCTCACTGTGAGTCAATCTTAAAAATTCAAGCCATTTTCCTGCAGCATACAGATGTGACGGAGTAGGAAAAAACACAACTTTGAATGCAGCCGACAGTTCAAAATAAATGGGTCAAGGTCGAGCAAATGGCAGCAAGTAGGAGGGATGAGACACCGATCATAAAAATGCTCAGAATAAAACAAAAAAATGAGATCACAACATAATGTAAAACAAATTGCAGGGTATGCAGGTTGCCACCACATCAAGAACTCCCAACGAAGGGGGACTGCTCGGCAATTTAATGTGAATGGAATGTACAGTGCTCAACGAGACGAAATAGACTAGTGAAGAGCGTTGCCTAGCGTACCTGCTGCGACATCTGCTGGAAGAAGCCTTACAATCTGGTGTCGCGAGTTGCATGTACGCACAGCTGAGCCAAGCAGTCGGCAGCTTTCATGGGTATATATAGCGCAAAACAAGGAAAGAAGGACGAGCGAAACAGCATGAGCGCCTATCCCGTCTTCCTCGTCCTTCTTTCCTTGTTGCTTTGCGCTATACATACTTATGATGGACAACCAACTAGCCCGCCAGATAATCTTATTGCAGTCAGCGGCTGTTCACGCTCAGGACGCAACCCCCATAGGTGATTACTACGAAGCATGAATCTCAATCTTAAGCACTTTTTTTTAATCATCACTTTACACTCGCAAATTTTATCTGTCCTTCAAGATGTGAAGTTATATTGCCCCAAATATATTTAAAAAGAAACCAGCAAACGAGGAAGACATTTTAATTATTTAGTTTAGAAAAAGGACATGTGCCATGACGCTACACATTTATTTGGTGTGAACAGTAAGGTCACTGCCAGTGGTGGTCACTTTTCTACAACTTTAACCTTTAGAAACAGGTAAACATCTTTACGCCACTGCAAAGGAAAAAAAAAAAAAAAGAAGCGCAGTCATGTTGCAAACTTGTGGCCAGCGTAGATCAGCTATCAGCTCATCGGCAGTTCTGCACCAATTAAGCTAGGAACAGCCGCTGACTGCTTGGCTCAGCTGTGCACATGTGCAACTCGCGACACTCGATAGACCGCTTCTCCTGCCAGATGGCGCCACAGGTATGCAAGGCCACGCATTCCGCTGGTCCATTTAATTTCATTGAGCTCTGTATGTATGGCACATGGAGCTCGTGGCAGATGTCCAAGATATGGGAATGCTTCTTTTTTGTTGCCAAATGTTGCTAGGATGCCACCATAGAACTATTATAATGTACGCTAGGGTTCAACTGGTACTAGCGTCTATACGACGTCCGGGAGGCAAACTGAAGCAAACGGCAACCAGTCTACTTTTGCGGTGCTCTTGTGCATCCCTGTGGGAAAACGTGCGTGCATTTTGTCTCTGCCAGAAAATAATATGGAACACTTTTGTTATTTGGGTGGTACCGAATTGTATGTACCTTTATTAATAGTGTAAAAGTGTAGGCTATTGCTTTAGTCAGTGCCTTTTTCTTCATCAGTGAACAATGTCTAACTTCGCCAAATTTCAGGCCCAAACCTCTGTTCCACAGCAAAATGCACGCAAAATGTAAAAACAAGCGACGATTCTACGCAAAATAACGATTGAAAGAAATATAGAGTGTGTTCAAGGCTCACCAGCATTCCGGTGACGCTTATATATTGCGAATATGCCAGTCCTGTCACTATATGAAAATTACCCCATCTTGCATCTTTACAAGTGGTTAAAACATTCTAAACATAAAGAATAAAGTATGTGGGCTATGAAAGGTGTCTCTCTTTTTTTTTTTTTCGATGTCGGACAGTTTTTACGAGGCACTTGTTCTCAAAGATTTCGAGTGTACGAGTGATGTTTTGAACGTAGAACAAGCATCTTTGCAGAGCAGAAAGAATAAAGCAGTACTTACCGTAAAATCCCGAGACATAACCCACCTAACATCAAGAGCAAATCAGGTGAAAATATGGAGTGGCCTAACTTTCGGTGTACAATGAAGAAAATTTTAAAACATTACTATTTTTAGGTCATGTTCCTTTCAAGCTTGTTATGGTGGCGAGGGGCAACGAAGCAAAGATGACTGTACTTCCCAGCTAGCAACGTTTGTTTATATTCCGACATAGCTAACTAGCCGCATTTACGCCGAGGTCATCATTGACCCCAATACTGCTATTACTAGGAGCCGGGTATCTTTCGGTGTTTAAAAAAAAATAGCAAATCATGCCAAAAATAGGGGTGGGCTATCTTTCGGGGGTGGGGCATCTCTCGGAATTTTACGGTACTTATTGAAAATCGGACTATATTATGTGACGTTTAATTTATTTTGATCATACATGCACAGGGAGTTACTGATCCAGTGTTACTGCATAGTTCTTGTAGTCTCTCTTAGTTTTCCAGATTCCTTCGTTCGCTTGGTACATCCAGGAGGCAAACTGAAAAGCGCCGACATTGTGTTTCGCGCTAGCCGTGTCCGACAGTAGCCGTTTTATCACCGTTTTTAATGCGAAGAATTGGAATGAAAAATACCGTAACTGACCAATTATTTCCTCCGCCTAACTGAGAAATGTTCCAAGCTACTTAGTATGTACAAATTATTCTGGATATTTGCTCTCATAATCGAGCGCAGCGAGGGAATGCACTCACTTTTTCCCCATAGGACTGCATTATCGGAAGTCAATTTTCGACTGGTTGCCGTCTGCTTCAATTTGCCACAGCACACTAGCGCCTTTTGAACCTCTAACATGCATTATAATAGCCCTATGGATGGCACTACCACTTTTCACAGTAGGCAAATAACGAATGGACAAGCAGGCATGCTGACGGGGGCTTAAGCCTAAGGCCCCTTGCTTCCATTTCTACTCCTTCCTATCTACTGCGCTTAGGCTGGAGAGCACACACAGCCACGTCTGTCATTTTTTAGTTCTTGCAGAAGAGTGCACTTTTGTACTCTGTTTCACACCAAGTCAAAGCACAGCCGACATGACTATCCGACGGCACCAAAACCGCGTCGTCGCGTCGCTCGCCGCCTTTGTGCGTTTGCTGTCGCAAGGCGAACCAATCGCGCACGGCGAACGTGCCGCAAGTTTGCGCTTTTTTCTACACGCGACTGTTTTAGCCGGTTGTAGCAGACACACAAATACGACAAGCGCAGCGACGACACAGTTTCGAAGCAGCTCGAATGGCACCGTCGAATCGTAGCATAGGCTGCGCTTAGACGGTGCCGAACGTGGCGGAGCCAGATTTTTTACCTCGCAACGTTTGTTCGTTGGCCTTTCTAGCGAGAACGCTTCTGCAGGGACATGAAGGTACTTGCAGGGTCATTCGTACAGCTTCATTTCCTCCTCGTGTATAATGCAGTGGATCTTGTGTGCCACTCTGCACCGGTGGCTCCGGGGGAAGATCTTCAACTTGGAGGCGATCCAGGTGGCCTCGATGTCGCAGTAGTCGTCCCGCTCGTGCCCGGGCCGGTCGGGCAGCCCGCTCAGTGCGGCCGAACACCTCTCTAACGCGTCTTTCACCGACCGGGCCAGGGGATCGGTGTCTGGGGGTTCACAGCTACGCCTCTTGCTCCTGAGAAAAGAGGGAAGAGCTCTTTGGAGCAGCGTTTTTTTGTGCACGTTTAGTTCGACGAGGAGCGCAAAAGCAGACCGACGCATATTTCTTGCCGAGTTATTGACAGGGGAGACACTGCCCAGAAAAAAAGATTTCTGCAAAAAAAGCTGATTTTGAAAAATAACATATTTACATCCACCAACATCTAGAGAGTATTCCCAAAAAGTTTAATTAATTTTCACATTATAGTTAATTTTTTATAAATTATTTTCTGTCCACCAAAGCTAAAGAAAAGGTAGGGTTTGGAGTACTTTGAACGCATTTTTCTCCGTTCCACTTTTTGGTATAAATTCCATTTTAGTCAATCTATCGTTTGATAATGGCAAAACAGGGAAGGCTCATTCTTCCTTTTTCCTGACTGAAATTTAATAAGGAATGCGGCTATGGAACTTTTTTGTCACTTTACGAGTGTCTTTTATAAAAAATGTTGAAATTTTGACGAAGACAAAGCAGACCAAAAAGTTGACCAATTTTGCAGACGAGAAAATTTATAGAACTAAATTACTTTTTAGAAAAAACGTTTCATAGCCGCACCCTCTAGACATTTTGCTACATATCTAGCAAATAAAAATCTTGAATATTGTGATAGTTTTCTGACGATAGATTAACTAAACAAGGTAGGCGTGTTGCTGATAGAAGCTACTCTAATTTCCTTCTCATTTAACCGACAGACCTGAAACTTTGTTATACACCATCTAGCATGACCACCAGCCTACCCTGTAAATTTAATTAATTTTAATACAAGAGTTCAAAAGTTGACCCCCCTAGGGGGTGTGCCCCCTTAACGCGAGCTGCTCAATTTTACATGCAAAGTCTTACTTAATCGATTTCGATTAGAAGCTGTTGACCCTTTGAGTGCCACAGCCCAAGTATACCGAGGTGCGCTCCCATGCAGGTTTGAGCTTTTATTTGCTCCCTACCTCTCCCGACTGGGCTGTCGATTTTATTTTTACGTGAACAGCAACGTTTCGTCTCATAATAACACCTGTCGACGGCATGTGGAAAGTTTTGTTTAGGGGGCTTCCCTCTCGGTTTGCTCCTTCGTCGTTGCAAAAAGGCAAGTCTATGTCGTTTAATGTCATGCTTTATGGCGAGCACCGAGATCTAGAAATTAGTGATAAACTAACTGAATAATAAACTAAGAATAAATAATGCCAGTTAAAACCAGTCGAAAAGAGTGACCCCATACTCCGTTTCACTTTAGGTGCGAGCGTGGCAGAAGCTGCTACAGCGAGCTGCGGGATTTCGGCGTCCCGCCAAGCACGCATGCTCGTGCAGTATAATCATTGTTCAGGCATAGCCTCCTTTATACTGAAAATGCCTGCCCAATTTCTGGCATCCCCGTGCTTTGGCGCAAATGCACAGCCAACATACATAATTCCAATACTTCAGAACAAATATTTCGTAGCGGGTGAGCAGCAACTATTTTGCACGGCAAAGAGTGTCGTGCAAACAGGTGTGTGAAGGAATGGATGCCATTAGAGCTTGATGGTGACGACGGAACCTGACGAAACAGGGCCTTCGAATTACATTCTGCCATAACATGTAGTTTACAAAAGTGAATAAATGTAGAGTGCAGTAGGTACGGCCCAACACAAATTACAAGGCAGATGGACGAGCAGGTGGTAAACTTCCACAATGTCGAAACAGCGAACACTGAAAGTTTTTATTGTTGAGGTCAAAGACCAGGCAAAGAGCAGGTGAGAAATTTCAATGGCCAGGGTCCTCTTGAGTTACAATCGCTGCAAAGTCCCTTAAGCAGTGTGAAAGGTGTTAGCTGTGTCAGGGCTCGCGTTTCGTAACGATACTAAACCTGTTGTTGGGCAGCCGTCACTACCTTGAGCTGCGAGAGCGCTAGGCAGGCCAGCCACTCAGACAGCAACGAAATACGTCGGGAAGAGCGTATGGTCTGATCCAGCTTTGATGACAGGGAGGCCCAAACCAAGCTGCAGACTTTGAGTGAATCTTCAGCAGGATGCTGATGTTTCACTCAAACGAGCTTTAAGGAAGGCCTGTCTATACGAGCCTTTCTTAATGTCCCTTGCAAAAAGATGTCTACTCCATACTTTGGAGTAGCAGAACGTAGAATTTGGGACACAATCTTTCCTTGAAATGGGCTTCAGTCACTTTCATGGTTCCGGGTGTTGGTTGGGATTTTGGGACATGACAGTCCTGGCACCTCCTTTTAAGAGTCTGCATAAATTGTGGCAAAAAGAGCGGTAAAAAGAAAAGCCCACATGTGACCCACAGCTACCATGTCAAATGCCCAAAATAGCACCAAAAATGCAAGAATGCATGAGAAAGGCTTATTCACATTGTTCACGTCGTCTATGTTTTCTGACATGTATGGGAAAACGGCGCACCCTCGTGGTGATAGCTGGCAACTGGAGGTTGGGCAGAATTATCAGTATAAAGGAGACTGTCGTTCAGGGCCACATGCTCGCATTTGTAGCTTCGATTACCCCTTTGTATAGTATGGTGTCCCGGAAAGTATAATTCTAGAAAAATATCCTAGGTTGGAGGCTTGTTGACATATCAATAATACGGCATGCAAGTTCATCTGCTCATCGCGTAACACACCTGGTGCATTTTTGTTTCCCCCTGACCTCAACAAATGACGGAGCCCGCTTGGCTGCCTTGTCGTCGCGCATTCCCCGCACCATTCTCTGCGTCGCCCTTCGATTGGCGTGCTCCTCCTTGCGCTTCCGACACACAAAAGACGCATTTTGGAACATTTGCTCGCCCATATTAACTTCGAGCCCATAAATCGGTGCGTCTTCAATAGGTAAATAAACTTCATAAAGCTTGCTACAGTTTTTCTGCATGGGACCGAAATTTGCATTCGACGTGCAAGAAAACAACCCAACACTCGAAGGGCTAATGGGAGAGGCTGGCATTGTAAAGGTAGCAGAAGTGCTCGAGTAATCGCTGGGGGTGGTGAATTGCTGCAAAAAGCAATGGACCGATACATTCTGCTCCTGACAACCAGAGTAAGACGTCAGAGTTCACCAATGCTACTCTCGGTGATGTGATTATCCAGAATTTACTCTAAAGCATTAGAGAGGAGTTTTGAAGCTCAGGTTTACATTAATTGCACTGAAATCAACCAACAGCATTTGTTAAACTTGCTGCATCGGTTTGTATAAGAAGAAATACTTTTCCTGATCTCGCCATACCAGCACGGCCACCCAAGTAACTAGCATCGTTTGAATGGCAGATGGTTCATTTCTGCAAACACCACATTAGTTTCTTTAGCGGTATTCGCAGCACCAGAAACAGTACTGTGGATGTTGTTACACGAGTGCACCACATCCCTTAGCTTGAGGCCCAACTGCAGCAGTCATATACGGTTGGCAGATATTCTAAAACACATGCCAATTGATGAAAGACATTGCAAAGGCATGAGTGAATGAATTTTGAAGATTTAAATTGAGGGACAATTTTTTAAATGTTCCCGTGGGATAACTTTGAAGTATAATCATTCTGGGTAACAAATCAAACAATTTGAAGAAATTGGAAATGCACCAAAATTTTCAATATGTCTTCTATAAAAAAAAAGAAAAGTTATTGCTGAAAGTATTATGAGTCGGTGAATCATACACACATACACTGCTAAAGCTCATAAACCTTTTTCGGTTAAAACCGAACCTCCGAAAACGGATTCGGCATACTTTTATCGGTTTTTATCGGCTTAAACCGAAAACTCCGAACCCTACTTATAAGGCACTTATTTGTATCGGTCTTATACCCCCATTACTTCACTCAGAGAAATGACCAGACGAGTGATACGTCTTCTGCTCCCGTTTCTGTCGAGAGAAAAATATTCCTCTTAGTATTTCCTCAAAGTTGACATGCATCATTCTGTGATACAAATTTAACAAGACCAAATTTGGGGAATGTACTTTGAAGTAGGAAATTGCACTTTTCTGGGAAAGTACCAGTACAAGTACATACACAGAGAATATACTTCAAGTAGATCCAAATTTTCTAAAGCAACTTGGGGTTTGTGTGTATGTTTATACAGCCTGAACTTAGTCTGCCTCAATGGGCGACTCGTCTCTCAGCTGTAGATGAGCGATTTAGCCAGTGCACTACAACAGCTTGCCTGAGGCCTTTAACATGCACCATGCAGTTGTGATACATGACCGCGCGCAGGTACGACGCTCATCCAGATCGAAACGGGCAGCGGTGGGGATTGAACCCAGGATCCCTGGGTCCTGCAGTGCGGCCCAAGCTATTTCAAAACTTTGCATTGAAGAGGAAACTGACCGTGAAATTGTTCCGATAACTCGCTGCATGTGTCCATCATAACAGCTTGGCAATGCAATTAACTTTTGCTGGAAAGCTGAAGGAAATCACTTAGTGACAGAATTCAACCAAAGCTAGAAGGGTGACTATCCCTGCGCACTTTGGCACAAATGGAGCAGCAAGCACATAGCTACTCTGTAACAAAGCAAACTAACTCCAGAATGACATGGTTCTTCAACGTGTATCTTGGCCAGTGCAGCGTGACCGGCAACTTGGAGCCCAATGCTCAATTGCACAAAAACCTTCCTCTAATATGCCCGCTCGGACCAATTTACAGGTACTGAAACCAACTTCACGGCCTCAGGTCTGTTGTTGATCTATTTTTGTTCCTTTCAGTAATTTCTGCAAAAACGGTTCATTTTGAGAAATTTCATATTTACATCCACCAGTATCTAAGAGTATTCCCAGAAAGTTTCATTTGCTTACAATGCATAGTTTTTATATAAATTATTCCAGGTCCACCGATGCTAAAGCAAAGGAACAAGTTCAAGCACTTGTAATGCGTTTTTCTCCGCTCCACGTTTCACTTTAGAAAATTTCACTTTAGAAAAATTATTGTTTGGTAACGGGACAAAAGGGAAGACTCACTCACTGTTTTTCCTAACTGGAATTTAATGGGCAATGCAACTGCGGCACTGTTTGTTTCACTTTGTAGATGTCTTTCATAAAAGATGCTAAGATTTTGTCGACGACAAAAAAGGCAAAAAATTTATTTGATTTTTTGGCGCAACGTTAATAAAATAATTTATTTTTTTTAAATTTGGTTTTACAGTTGCACTCTCCAGGTTTTATGCTGCATATTTAGTGAAGAAAAATGTTTGGTATTACATTAGTTTTCTAATTACAGTTTTCCTAAACAATTTCAGTCTGTTCCTGATAAAAAACGACTAATTTCTTTTACAACTCATGCACACAGATAAAACTTTTCACTGCATTCTGCCTTGCAACTGCCAGTATAAACTAAATTTCATTCATTTGATCCAAAGGTTCAAAAGTTGACGCTTTTGGATATTGTCTTAGATGCTACGAGAGCGAGCTCACGGCTTTCAGTGCCCCTGCTGAGCATGCACGCACGAGTAGTGCAAGCACTGATCGTGGCAGCATGCTCGTGCTCGTAGGTCCGGCTTCGGTCGCACATAAAGTGATACAAACAATAGGACCTCTCCTCCAACAAAAACTGAGGGACTTGTAATGCAGTTCGGAGAATGTACTCGCCTCGGACTAGGATCAACCGTTGGCCTTTTCCTTCTGGGTGCCGCCCTTGCACTGCGGAAGAGAAGGAAGCGTCTGATCCCGTGCAGGGTTCCCCGACGGGTCGTGCCATTACCGTGGCTGATCCCCGTGACAGGCGTTGCCGTTGAAGGTTTCCCCTATTTCTGCATCTTCACGGCTGTGACTGCAAGTAAGGGTGCATCTGAACTAGTACCTCAGGTAACAAAACTATTTGGTGAAAGAAAAAAGGTGTGCTTATGCTTGGCATAAGCAACAAAAGAGATGTCCTTTATACACTTTGCGGGTGAAATTTGCGTGCACTAAATATCTCACTTAGAAGTATTAATATCAGCCACTGAGCTCGTCTACTGGGAGCAGCCCATGGAGGGAGCACCTCTTCATAAGCTGGTTGGTAAAGCTGTTTGGATGTTTGAAGCAAACAATTCTGGATTGCAACAGTGTGCCAAGCGTTTGAAAGTTTAAAGGAAAAACTTTCAGCCTTTCCACTCTGGTGAAGAAGGAAGAGCAGCGGAGCTGTAGCTTCTGTTCCCGGTAATGGCTGTCCAGGCGAGCTATCTGCTCTTTTTTCGCAAGGGAATCTGAAGCGCTCGACGCAGTGGAACTTTAGGTGATAGCGGCCTCGCGGCGGTTGCGGAACCATTTGTGCTGCTGCGCACATCGCCGCTCGTTCTGCTCCCGCTCTTCTTCCTCCGAAAAAATGTTGTCGCCATCTATGAGCGACGGCAGCAACCAGTTGTCTGGTTAACCAGGCTGGAAAGGTTGCTGCGATCTATGAGCAACAGCGGCAAGCAGACAACCGGCAAACACAACACGCTAGACAGCTACCGCCATCTATGAGCGACGGCGGCAACCAGAGTGTTGTGTCGACATTTGTTTGGTACTGGACACGATTCTGGGGAAATTAGCCCTTAACAGTTCAACTGTAAAAACTTGCGGAGTGTGCAGACGTTTTAGACAAGGTGGTGCGAGCTACTACTATCCTATGTAAAGGGTAAAGCCAAAATCATCTATCTATCCATTCACAGGGAGATGAGTGCACCCTCCTGGGAGGTTTATATGGACAATATCCAAAGGCCTAGCTATCTGAATCTTTAGTGCTTCGGGCCTAAGTAGGTGGCTTACACTTTTCTTAAGGGGGGACATGGCCTGAGAGGGTGAACTTTTGAACCATTACCTCAAATTGATTCAAACTTTCAGGATGAATTGAACCGCATTAGGATTAATGACCCCTCAAGTTTCAATCTTGTAGGCCAATTCTGCAACATACTATACTTAACAAGCTCCAGAAAAAAAGTTACTTTATTAGAAAATGTATTTAAAACAAAAATAATTGCAATCCACAAGATGCTTGGTTTAATGTGAAGTAGATTGTCCATAGTGCGAGTTAAGATAAAAATTAATTGTAGAAAATGCAATTCCAGAGAAAAACAATAACACCCATAAAGAGCAAAAGATTTTAACAAATTCCTGTGTTTTAAAATATGAAGTTTTTGTCATGAAGAATTTAGCTTTTTCAGATTATGGGTACCTTAACTTGTTCCTCAGGAAATTTCAGTCCAGGACACCACCGAATGAAATCTTTACACTTTCAAAATGTCAAATGACACATTTCCCCACACCACATTTAATTCCTGCCAAAAAGTGAAACCTAGAAAAATGCATTTGAAGTTGCAACTTTAGGTTTCTCTCTTTTTTATAAGTCTGAGGTATACAAAATTCACCTGGAGCATTGTTAGCACCTTCCTCTTTGAGACTTTGTCATTCCCCTGGCAATAGCTACCAGTTTGTGTCATTTGTAGGCACGCTAACTTTTGTAGCAGGCATTCCTTGACAGATAAACTGGCAAGAACTAAGAGGCAAATCATACTAATGAAGAGCAGCAAAGCAGAAATGTGACCTGAAGTGGAAGATACCGTGAAAATGTGTTACTGAAGGTAACACAATATCACGTCACCAGGCAGGCCAATCGTAAACCCTGGTTCAGGTCTCAACCATTAAGATCGCTCATACCAAATTTTCAGGATTTTTTTTCTGTTTGGATGTATAAAGTTTTCTGGCCATTGATACTTTTAAACTTAGAAAGCTTCTACGGGCTAAGTCTAGAGTAAATGACACTTCCAATGAGGGTGAGATGTTCTGGCTATGTTAAACGAGTATGAAGCAGTGCCAAATAAAAAAACACAAAAAACTTCCTCCCTGCTGACTCGGGAGGCTGCCGACATGACGAAAATAATTTATTGTGAGACAAATTCTGCATGTTTATAAATGAGTTTCTGAAACCATTCTTTGGAAGATAATAAACATAAACATATAATTTTTTAAAAAGAAAGATTTTTCTGAAAAATTTGAATTCCGAGGCCATATTCTGCCTTAATGAGGTATGTTTGTGGCACATTGAGTAAGACAATATCCGCAACTCTAGACGTATCACAAGACCATTTCAATCGCGTGTTCTGTTTTTGTTTGCCATACCCTCCATCGAACTTGCAAGGCTGTCCCTCTGTCTCTGGAACTTCCTCAGAATACCTGCAAACAGAAAACAATGAGTCACCAAATATGCACGACCTACACAGAAAAGAAAATGTTGCATTACACATGACGAAGGATTTCTGTCGGCTTGATATCATAGTTTTCACTGTAAAAAAACAACATTGGTTAATAGCTCTGTTGTGCAATGGCATCATAGTTATGTGAATAATTTGTCAGTCATTGTAACACATCTTCAGAAGCATGCTTACTCGTCATCACAGCTAGCGCTGCCAGTGCTTCGTCCAGTCGTGCTATTGCTTGCGCCTTCAATGACTTCTGGGACACCGCTAAGGAATGGTAACTCATTTTAGGATACAGAAAATATGCACATGTGCATTGAAAACAAAGAACAAAGATGCAAGCTATGACATACTCAGTGTCCATATGGATGGTCCATGCATTTGTGATCGTTGGTGTACTTGAATTGTGGGACGAATTTGTGAGGTGCCTGTAACGAAAGCGAAATTCCACAAACATATAATACACTCTGAACCAAAAGCAATTACGTCAAATAGGCTCTCTAACTTCTAGACTACCATAGTAATTTTGAAACTAATTTGTTGCAAAGCCTATGATACCAGTCACAAGGACTAAAACAGTTAGTAGATTCAAATGATAAGGATTACAGTCAAACGCCTGTATAATGAAGCGTCTGGGACCGCGATAATTCTTCGTTATACATGTCACTTTGTTATATCCGTCACGCACTTTAATGACCCCAATAAAGCAGATAAGCAATGAAATAGCCCGTTGTACAGGCTATTTCACAGTAGAAGAGTTTGTTGTAGCGGCGTTTGACTGTATGTAAAAACCGCAGTCTAGATATTCTAATGGGGGCACCATAGAGCTTTAAAAAAACATACATGAGCACAAAAAGCGTTAACAAATGCAAAGGAAAACAAATTTTTTTTAAACAGCCTAGATGAAAAATGGATGCTACAAAATAGAAAAAAAAAAAGGAAAAAAAAAACAAACTTTTAGGGTTATATTTACGGCGCAAAACAAACTTGTAGTTGACGCCCGCAGGAACCCGCAGAAAAGTAGCAACTAGCAGTCACGTGATTGGCCACTAGTCACGTGGCGCTTGCGCTCTTTCGAGAGCTTCTTATGGGCTCTAAAAGTTACTTGTCAATCTTTTTTTTTTTTTTTTTTTTTTTGCACTTCTTTTTTTAACATGCTATTTTGATGTTTGAGAAACAACACGTATAAGAAAATCGTCACTTCCATTTTGACTCACGCGATAACAAACAAAAGTTTCGCCATTTTCTGTTCGAAGAGGTGCCGTCATATGTTGTCAAAGCAACACCGCTACGCTGCTCAACGAAGGGCTCCAGTCTCCGTGATCGTCAAGCAGCGGGGTCGCTTCGGGGGAACCGATATGTTAGAAACTAAAACATGTGTCATCGCAACGCTTCGAACAGAAAATGGCGAAACTTTTGTTTGTTATCATACAAGCCAAAAGCGAAAGTGACAATTTTCTTATACTTTGTGTTTCTCAAACATCAATATTTTGTGAAAAAAAGAAGTGGAACAAAAAAAACAAAGATTAAGAGGTAACTTTAGGTAACTTTTAGAACCCATAAGAATGTCCCAAAAGAGTGCAAGCACCACATGACTAGCGGCCAGTCACATGACTGCTAGTTCCCACATTTCCATGGGCTTTCGAAGACACGTATCTACAAATTCATTTCGCATCGTAAACATAGCTCTAAAAACAATTATTTGTTTTCCTTGTAAGTTTATTTTACGGCATCCTTCTTCCATCCAGGCTTTCAAAAAAAAAAAAGCTTTTTCCTGTGCTATGTCTTTTAAGGGGGGTAGCCAATTGCAATTCAAGAAATGCTTAAAAGACACAGCCACCAGGCCGGTTGTTCTACCGTATGTTCCTAAACTCTCCCATAGGATAAGGCAAATTCCAAAAAAGTTTGGTGTTGCCATTATCGTTTGGCCCCTGCTAAGTTGTCCCGCTTGTATGCGACCACCGATCGAGCCCCATGCACAAAACAGGGGTACAAAGTAAAACACCGAGGCCCTAGATTCCACGTTTCAATAGAGCCTTGTACCGATTCCATTGTCACGTAAAAAGGTGTACATGGGGCGGACAGGGCAGTGCATCGATGTCAGACCTATGGATCACAGCCTTTCGTTAAGGACATCACCTTTGGGGCACCTCGCACCTTGCAGCGTTCACTGTGATAGGTGCACCCTTTTGTTTAATGACGTGTAAATATTAATATGTCGTCGCAACAACATTTCGAAGGAGATGCATTAAGCTTTCTTTATTGATGCCCACGATAAGGACGTGCGTGTCAGTGCTGCATCCTTATCCATACTGGGCAATAAAGTACATTTTTTAAGGAAGTGCGGAGCGTGCACACGTACAACCAACGGCTTTTGATGTGTAATGAAGGTGCGGCCCGTGCATGTTTTAATCTCTTTGGGTGCCTTCCCTTTTTATTTCCGCGTTCCCATTAGAAATAAAATACTTTGTCAGTAGTCAACAATGTGCGCTCTGTTTTTGCGTGTCCTTCGCCTTTTTGGCACAGTTCTAGATAACGAACTTGCCTTGTCTAAACCTCTTACGCGTTAGGTGTCTGGGCTTCGTCGCACGTTTCGCACAACTCTCCAAAGGGCCCAAGTGTGACGAAACTCGGCATTCAAACCGGCGATTCAAACACAAGACGTTGCTCTTCTCACTCACGCTGGGCTGGTGTCTTCCAGCATGGAATCCAACAGACTGTAGTGGCACCAGTAGGGCCTTCTGACGTCTTTTCCTCCACAACCGCTGCGTCTTGCGGCGTCCAGTTTCTGGCGAATTTTCATGCAGCGGTCCCGTGCGTTCCGCCATTTTTTCTTGCACTCTTCGTCTGGGGAGAAAGAGACGTCAGTAGACGGCAAGGAACGTCAGACCTGAAACCCTCGGGGCGTACTAATATTTTAGAAAGTCGACTGACAGAGGACGAGCTCTCAATATTTCAACACCTTGTATAGAATTACTAGGTGCTTTGTTCTTTATTTATATGTTTAGGTTTGTTTTCTGAGATGGAAGTTGTTCACCAGCTCACCTGGTTAATCATTTTTCTAAGATTTGTCACAGTGGTTCTACTTTTACCTAGTCAGAGTGTGTGTGCCCAGTAGCATTAAAGGAAAAAAATAAAAAAAATAAACACAAGCGAGTCAGGGACACTTTGCGCTTGTCTACGACTTGGAGAGGGGTGAGACTTGCAAGTGAGTACGACCAACTGAAACAAGACCGATTTTTATGCACCTTGCAACGATTTACGACCGGATGCGCTGCTGCGGAACCTTTCGCAAGCCGTCACAAGAGGATTAAAAACCAGTCATGTCTCTGTCGGTCGTACCCGGCTGCAAGTGTGTGTCACAATCTTTAAGATTTTTAATAACAAAATCGCCCACTCATGAGTATGATTTTTTTTAGTTTTTTTAGGATGCTTAGTTGTTACCGTAAATAGACAACCTCAGAATCCACTTGAGTGCACCTTTCACTTAATTTCTTGAGGGTCTATAAAAGGTGTGCTAAGTGAAAGGAACAATAAAATAAGGTTAACTTGAACTGGAGAAACTTTGAAAGACATCAAATGGCCAATTCCAGAAATCCGCATCACCAGCGATGCAATCCGATGTCATGGAGGTAGCTCAGATGCAGAATGATAAGACTTTCTCTACCTAGATTAATACAATCCTTTCTTAGCATGCTGTAAAAAGAATGAAACTGATGTTTGGTGCTGTGATAAGTATTGCACCATGAGCTGTAGATTATTAGTTCTGATCAAACCCACTCTGTCGGAGCTGTGAATCTGCGCATGCTTTGGAGTCGACGAAAGCTTTGGTTCACTGCCTAGTAATAAAAGCTAGAACATTAAATATTTTGCCAGTTACTGATATTTTCTGCTTGTTTTCACTTTTAACGTCGCAAGACGTGAATATGAGCATGAACAGAGATGGCAAAATTACTTTCCACAGGTAATTAAATTACACTACTCAATAGTTTCGTCAGAAATATGCATCTATAATTAAATTGTGTTGCAAATTACTACGAACTAAAAATAATTACATGACATTTCAATCACTCCTGAAAAATAATGAAGTAGCTTTTTAATTCCTCTTTTCATTGCTTTTAGAAAAATGATGGTAATGTCAATTTAAACTAATTAAATTACACCAGGTATATACAATTGAATCAAAGAGGCCTGCCGTGCTCAATGGTCCGTTGGCTATGCTGGTATTTTCGTTTGCTTTTTTCTATCATCTTATTTTCTTCTTGATCCTTCTATCTGTCTTTGCAAGCTCATAAATTCTAACATCTTCAGGTAGTAATTTGTGCCCGTGACGACGGAAGTGTTAAGCGTAATATAGAGCTTCTTAAAATATGACTAAAACAGACAGCTCATTGGTTTCACTGTTCATTGAGTAATGAGTAATTTACTGCCTGAAAGTAATTCGTTACATTAGAAAATTACCAGCGTGCAAGAATAATTCATTGCATTGCTCAATACAGCAAAAATTTTATTACAGTAATGTCCTTACTGCCATCTCTGCACATAAAGATCGCGAAGCTTTATCCGGTTATTTTTGACCCGAGTACAAGATCGAGTGCACGATCTGAAGCATGTGATTTAGCGAGCGGCAAGACGAGCGACGGCGACAGCGACCAGTCAGCGACGAGCGACAGGGATTTCCCACTGTCGCTCTTCGCGTCGCTCGGTTTCTGGATTTCTAGAAAATGTCGCTCATCGCCTTGGTGGCGTGCTCCCGTCGCTTTCATGCGGTGCGCTTCGTCGCGCGAGTGACCGAGCGACAGCAAAGCGGGTCGCAGTCGCCTGTCTCGTCGCTAGCCAAATCGCTTTACCGTATTTTCGTTAAAAGCATAATGTCCCAGCGCGTTGAGGACCCAGTCACTTGACACGGGGAACTCGCGCCATGAGCTTCTGAAACTGAGGCTTTAGAAAGCGGGGCAGGAAGAGTGGGTCGTTTCCCGCGGGGCATTTGACACAGGGCGTTTCGTGCACTCCAGTCAGAGCAACTCTGAGAAGCTTGAATGGCTAGCTGATGAGGCGAATAGTGTCAGTGATATGCTTACCGGTTATGCCGAACTCAGCGGCAATGATTTTCAGTCTGTCGTCTTTTAGGGCAGTGTCCCTGTATTCTGGACACCTTCTGTCGTACAAAAACGGGAAATCCCTGATACGCTCCAGAAGCGCCTGGAGCGGGAAATGTCGGTATACAGGCGGCTTTGGTTCGGTGCACACCGTCGACATTGTACTACAGCTACAGCAAATTTAGGAAGTCGGGCTCTTCTTCAGACACACTAGCCGAGCGATCGTATGCGAATATTTCCAGAGAAAAGGAGACTGCAGGCAGCAAATATTGACGGCAACCAGAAATCCAAATGGCGGGACCGGCGGGACGCGTCCTGCGGCTGGACAAATCGTAAACAATGGCAGAACCTGTTGTTTTGGGTGGTACATCGCGCCACCCCTCCTAAGACATTTGAACTATCTCTGGTACAGCATGGCCTCCGAGATCCCGAAGCGCGCGCTTCGGGATCTCGGAGGCCATGGGTACAGTGGTACTATTTTGTCCGATGTCCCACTGCCCCTTTTCTCTTCACCCCAAAATAAACACCAACCTGGTATGTCGCCTAGCGCCCACTCATCACTCATCTTACCCCATCTTCCTTTGTGAGAGCAATCCTTTTATCTTCCGCTCACGCTCGGCCCACACCACGCCTTCTTTCACTTCTGTAAGGGAAAATCCAAACCCCGCGCGTTTTAAAACCATATGACATATTATTCCAATTTTGCTTTGGAGAGCGCAAAGTACGTTGATCGAAATGATTACTATGCTTACCTTCTCAGCATTGCTTTTATAGCTTCCGAGAACGAAAAGCTGCTCGTGAATGTTCCTTCCTACGGAATCCTACACTTCACAAATAATGTCATTATTTGTCATATGTCACAATAATGTCACAATAATGTCATATTCCCCTATTCCCCATGACCCTTTCTTCATTGTCACTAAGCCTAAATGAACTCACGGCCTCGTACAGAAGACCGCATTAAAGATCGTCTACTTACTTATTCATATATCCTAACTATTCATACGAATATTGAAAGAAAAAAAAAAAGGGGGGGGAGGGGTTGTTTTACCATTTTACAAATAGTTTAGAAAGTAGTGTTCATTGCGGAACTTTGAGCGCTTACAAACAGACAAAACAATGTATTTCAAAATTTTCAATTTGAGGACTTTGGCCACGCCCGTACGGAGAAGCCTCTTCCCCCATCTCCCGAACGACGAAAATAGAAAAATAAGAACAAAAAAGGCGGAGCCAGTCTCGACTTCCTGTCCCTCATACCCCCCCCCCCCCCCCCCAAAAAAAAAAAAAAAAAAAAAAAAAAAAAATTTCTTTGTGCCATTTTTTTTTTTTTTTTGGGGGGGGGGGGAAAGTTTGTGCCTTGCAGTCTTGTCGTCCACAGACAAAAACGTCTGTCAAAGAACGAAAAAAAGAAGAAGAAAGTTAAATAGTTTCAAGAAGCGAGGGGTCTCCCTTCTCCAAGGACTCTCCGGTGGGGTCTCCTCCTCACGGCGACTTCGCCCCCTTCCCGAAGACGGAGCGGAGGTCGTGAACTGACCGTGAACTCTAGCAGCCGGCAAGTGGGCCACGGCCGCCGGTCGGGCTTTCGGCGTGTCCCCCAAGGTCCCCGGGGGACTCTTCGTCTTGGCTGAGGTTGGTCGAGGCAACCGAGGTTAGGCGAGGTCGCGGCGGTTCGGGGGTTGGGGGAGCCGCCGGTGCCGTTGACCTGCGACCAAGGACGTATCATCCGCGGCACCGGCCTCGCCGACACTCGTCGCCTGTGGGGAAGAGGGCCAGGGGAGGCACTCTTCCTGGAGGTCAGCGGAAGTGGCACCCTACCGATCAGGTGCTGCCCCAACAGTCCCGGTGCAACAGAACCGCGCTGCTAAGAAACATGACATACATACATGTATCATGTATGGATGTATTTGTCATCAGCCTTGGCCGGCGGAAATCCACACATCTTGTTGGAGATCTAGAATTTGTGGAAATTTAATAATTTTTCATATATTATATTGATTCATTTTCACGTTTTCTAAGCCGATTTAAAAATTGCGCTCAAAAGGAGCTCCTCAAGTGCTGCCCGCAATGACGTAGTCTTTGCAGTCATGTCGTCACGATGTTGGCAGCGTGTCCTTGGTAGATGCGACGGTGACACAAGTGACGACCAAAGTCCCTTGATACTTCTTTTACAAGTAACGACAACCAATACAAATGACAAAGCACATTCCGCTGGAACAAAATGGCGGCATATAGTTTAAACCTCTTCTGTGCGCCACCATTCGCTTCCTAAAACCTGCTCCGTCACGCAGTCGGCGCTTCGAAGGATGTCGCTACTTGTAGGAAGAAGCTCTAATCTAGCGACTTTAGTGACGATGTGACTGCGACGACTGCGTCACTCTTCAATGCGTCATTGTGAACAGGGCTTGCGGAGCTCTTTTCGCGCGTAATTTTTAAATCGGACGAAAAAAACTCAAAATTTATCGATTAATATCTAAACAAACAATTACCTCTATGCAAATTCTTTAACTTGGTCTGACCTCTAGTAATAACTGTCGTCAACACTGAAATAGGATCGTGACCCCTAAAACGAATAACTGCAAAGTTAATTAACATATTTCCTTAAATGAGCCAACTTAGCCTGACGATTATCACCTCATCCAATGTCCACCGAGCCTGATGACAACACGGTGAAGGCGACACTAAAGGCCCGTTCATAACCTAGGTTCCTTACAACTTCTTAAACCAGAAAACACACTGGTGCCATCTATTGGGAAGCAGTGTAAACTCGGCGGTCCGGCATATTTTTTTTTTTATTTCTCGCGCATTATCCTTTTTTTCTTGGCTCGAAAAACTTTTGTCAATGTTATAAACGAGCCTTTCTATGGGTATTACGCACATTTGTCCTCGGAAATCCCGCAAAACCTTCGCTCTTGTGAAATGCAGTTCCAGGGTCAACGCATAGATGGCGCCACAATGCCAGTTTGTTCCCTCATTTTAAAAACATTTAACAAGTTTTAAGAGAACTCGTCTCTCTCAGTCGTACTCGGTCGCACTCGGTCGCAAGAGTGTGAACGGGCCTTAAATGCAAACACCTTGTGCTTATATTTTATAATAAACCACTGTCATATTGTCACGAATGTCGCGCTTGGCAATATATCGCCACTAAGAAAAAATGGGGTTTCTAAGAAAATCAATTCCGAATTTGCTAGATTTTAAAAACATATCGTTCATTCAAATGCATGTTAAGTAAAGGTTTTATTTTGCACACATGATGTTGAATATTCATTCAATTTAAATTTGAAATTTTAGCTTTCTGGTGATGTCAAGAATTTGTTTTCAATTAAAAAAATAAAATTTGAAATATTGGCAGGAATTGCCAGAAACATACTAATTAGCCAGCTAATTAATTAAACTTTGTTAAATAACTTTTTAATTAGTGGAAATAGACATATGGTTCCAATTAGAAAGTTGCTGAGCGTTATCGAAAACCACGAAATCAATCATTTTCAGAAATACTTTGAGCGCGTGAGAAGAGTAGTAGCGCACGAAAGTTACCACTCGTGGAGCAGGTACAAGGCTAGCGGTTGCAGTAAGGCGCCCGCGCGATTTTTCCGCCTCTTATCTAGCCCCAGCCTTGTACCTGCTCCACGAATGGTAACTTTAGTGCGCTACTACACTTCTCAAGTACTCAAAGTCTTTCTAAAAATGACTGATTTAGTAGTTTTCGATAACGCTCAGCAACTTTCTAATTGGAACCATATGTCTATTTCCACTAATTAAAAAGTCAATTAACAAATTATAATTAAATAGCTTGCTAATAAGTATGTTTTTGGTAATTATTGACGTCCGTCATGGCTGGTAGTGCAGTATTTTGAGAACAAAATAGACAACGGTCAAACATGCGAACCCCGACAGGTGCAAGAAACGTCAGTTTTCGTCTCGGTCGCTTCAAAAATCAATAACTTAAAAACAAAAGAAAAAAGTTCGCCAAGCTTGTCGCTTGCGCTCTCTTTCAATTCAAGACCTCTCCAAAAAATATATATATTTTACGTCAAACTTAAAGTACGACCCCAAGAGCCAAAACCGTGCCTGAACTGAGATGAAAGCACCGTGCCTGAACTGAGATGAAAGCACCCATCCATATTTCATCTCATCAGTTATATGCAGCGTTTTTTTTTTTTTTCTTGGGGGGGGGGGGGGGGGGGGGGGGGCGGCACAGCAACTGCTCACTTGCAATAGCTACTCCATACCGGTAAACCTATTGGCAAACCTGTATGAAACATAATGGCAAGCCTTTATGAAATATAATGACAAACCTCTATGAAACATCAGCAAACCTCTATGAAACATGGTGGAAACATGAGCAAATTTCTACGAAACATAGTGGAAACATGAGCAAACATCAGACGTCTGTGAATAGGGTGACCAGTTTTGGGAGGGATAGTTCCGTTTTAGAGGTTAAAATTTGTATCGTCCCGCGTCATTTTGCCTCGGAAAAGCCTTATGTCCCGTTTAAACGGCAACGTGCAGTTAAAAAAAGAAAAATTGAAAGGATGTTTATTTTTTAGAGACGTAACTTTATGGAAATAAACATTCTTTGAAAATGTTACCTCCCATACAGCACAATTTTGAGCTCTTTCCCTTGTTACATCTGCCGGACTTTTCTTCTAATACCACTGAATTTGACATGTTAGTTTGGCAACAATGAAACAGTGATGATCAGTGGACCTGTCCGACTCTGGAACAATATGCGTTTCTACGCTCAAACGGCTATAGTAGAGCGAACTGCTCTCCAGTGTCCGCTCTGCTAAATGGGAGGATCTTCCACTTCACTGTTAATCTGTCACCGACCAAACTATTTGTTACCCTCATTATCCCCGAGTGTCCCGTTTTCTACTTGGAGGGTTATAGTAAAGCACGTGAAACACGTGGGCAAATCTATACCAAACATGCCTGCAAGCCTCTATAAAAGATAATGGCAAACCCGTATGAACCATACGAACCTCTAGGAAGCATATATCGACAAACCTCTATGAAACATATCAGCAAACATCTCCGAAATATCGGTATACTTCTACAAAAGATTGGCAAACGCCCATGAAACATGTTGGCAAGCCTCTATGAAACACAATGGAAAATCTCTGGAACATATCGGCGAACCTCCAGGAAACATAGCAAACTTT